GGCGGTGGTTGTTTTGGATGGATTGCCATTTTATACAGACGTCAGCAAAGCGGATGTAATCAGGGAGGGGGAGACGCTGTAGGATAAGCTCTGTGGCGAGATCAGGGAGATCGAGCCATGGTGGAGAGGGTGGTCCTGGTGTCGAGGGCTTGGATTTTTCGGAATCGGTCCCTTTTTGTTCCATCTGCAGTTTGATCTATTGGGTGTTAAAGATTTAGGAAGCTCAGAATCAAATCAAAAACGAGGAGGTGGGCGGGAGGAAAAAAAGAAGAAGAAAAAAAGAATAAAGAGAGTGCTCAAGATTAAAAACCCTAACTTGGTTTGTAACTGACCTCAGTAATTTCAAATGGTCGATTCTTCCATCTGCGGTTTTATCGATCAGAGGTTAAAGTTAAGAAGAGTTAGGGTCTTAAGCAGGTCAGAATCATCACAAAAAACACGAACAAAGAGAATGCTCAAAAATCGAAAACCCTAACTTTGTCTCCGACTGACCTCAGCAATGTCGACGGTCGATTCTTTGATGGGTGGAGGGTTGACGATCGTGGTGCTCGGAAGTGTCGACGGTCGATAGTTGAGGACTGAAGCGCTAATTTCGTCTGAAACCGACCTCGGCGATGTTGGTGGTCGATTCTTGATCGATCGGAGGTTCCGTGATTTGAGCACAGCGGGGATTGGAGGGAATGGGACGCGGTCTGGGGAACTAGGCTTTATATAACAATGGGTAAATTTCAGAAAGCCCCTTTACGTTTGGGCGCTTCCAAATAACCCAAAATTTCACCAACCCCCTCGCATTTTGTTTTGGGTTCTCAGAAAACCCCCCCTACTGCTTCCTACATTTTCTTCACAAGTGACCGTAACGCTCCTGCAAGCCATGACCACAAATGGAATATTTTGGGAGTTTTTTTTCTTTTTGTAGGGATGTTTTCTTTCGTCGTTGGTTGGTGGGGGGTAGCATACTTATGAAACGAGTCCCTTAAATCGTTGGAATCGCTATGAGATCCCTCAATTCTCGTAAGTTGTTAGACATTAATCCCTCTAATTGCTATATAAACTTTCAAAGGATTAATTTTATAATAATGTAAGAGTTGTGGGACCTAAAGCAAATTGAATAGTTAGAGAGACTAGCACCAAAATATGAAAGACTTAAAGAGGGAAAATACCCATTTTTTATAACAATAAAGCCATAAAGCAGAGAGTATAGAGTTTACATTTTTATCTGACCCAAACATAGTGTGGAGACAATATGATTAAAATTAGGGAAAAATGCTTCCAGCCCCCAAAAGCCAAGTGAACATGCTTCCCACCCCCAGGACTTGGTCAATGGGTGTTTTACCCCTAAAAATAAAGAATCTGTTCTCTGAGCCCCCAAAACACAAAACCCAAGACATTAAAACATGTGAAGACCATAATACCCTTCTCTCTCTCTTTCTTTTTTTATTAAAATATGATGGAGGATTATTTTATTATTTTTGTTTTTTCTCTCTCTTTATCATGATGTACCAAGAGGATAGTTGAAATGATTGATGATGATTATTTTATTATTTTCGTTTTTTATTATTTTGGTTGTTTGTATTGGGAGGTTGTTAAAGTTACGGGTTGATTGTTAAGGTTACGGTTTGGTTGTTAAGGTTAAGGGTTTGTTGTTAAGGTTATGAATCCTCTCTCTCTCTCTTTCTTTTTTTATTAAAATATGATGGGGATTATTTTATTATTTTTGTTTTCTCTCTCTCTTTATCATGATGTACCAAGAGGATAGTTGAAATGATTGATGATGATTATTTTATTATTTTCGTTTTTTATTATTTTGGTTGTTTGTATTGGGAGGTTGTTAAAGTTACGGGTTGATTGTTAAGGTTACGGGTTGGTTGTTAAGGTTAAGGGTTTGTTGTTAAGGTTGTGGATTTGTTGTTAAGGTTGTGGATTTGATTGTTAAGGTTACGGGTTGGTTGTTAAGGTTAAGGGTTTGTTGTTAAGGTTGTGAATCCTCTCTCTCTCTTTCTTTTTTTATTAAAATATGATGGGGATTATTTTATTATTTTTGTTTTCTCTCTCTCTTTATCATGATGTACCAAGAGGATAGTTGAAATGATTGATGAGGATTATTTTATTATTTTCGTTTTTTATTATTTTGGTTGTTTGTATTGGGAGGTTGTTAAAGTTACGGGTTGATTGTTAAGGTTACGGGTTGGTTGTTAAGGTTAAGGGTTTGTTGTTAAGATTGTGGATTTGTTGTGTAGGTTACGGATTTGTTGTTAAGGTTACGGGTTTAATTGTTAAGGTTACGGGTTTAATTGTTAATGTTACGGGTTTAATTGTTAGGGTTACCTATCTAAAGATCCTCTTGGTACATCATGATATATATAGAGAGAGAGAGAGAGAAATAATAAAATAATCATCATCATATTTTAATAAAAAAAGAAAGAGAGAGAGAAGGGTATTATGGTCTTCACATGTTTTAATGTCTTGGGTTTTGTGTTTTAGGGGCTCAGAGAACAAAATCTTTATTTTTAGGGGTAAAACACCTATTGACCAAGTCTTGGGGGTGGGAAACACGTTCATTTGGCTTTTGGGAGCTGGAAGCATTTTTCCCTTAAAATTATTATCACATTATTATTAAAAGGACAAAAATATTCAAATTATTGCAAGGACCAAATTATTCCAATATATAACATCAAAACTCGGAATAACACTCTCAACTCAGTTGTCGACGAAGCTCATACTCTTAACACTACATCATCCTGCTCATCTCATTACATGAAGAACCGCCTTCTTCCGTCTTATTTCCCACTTGAGACCCTCTGTTTTTTGCACTTCACGAATATATACCCTTGTTTCTTTTTGTTTTTCAAATTAAGTGCACATGAACACTTGCTTGATACAAGCAGCCCTTGTAGGTGATAATTTCCATGGACTAAGCGTTTAAACTTTGATTTCCATGAGATACCCCAGCAAAGAGCTAGCAGCCCTTGCATACTCTGCAACCTCTCTTGAGATCGCCTCATTTTCCTTTATCTCAAAGTTCTAATCTTAACCACCACGAAACCATAGAGTATCAGCGGTCTCTGCGTACCTGATTTCGGAAAACAAGGGTATTTGAGCATCAGACTTGGAAAACAAAAAGGGCATGCGACGAAAAATAGCCAATATGGGAAATCAAATATCTTACTTTTTCATGCGGAAACTAAAGAGGCATAACATCATTTGCAATCCAGAGGTCCTAATACCATTTTCATTCCAGGGTTTGTATCTGCTAATTCTAAAGTTTAGGGACAAAATGTGCGAAAGCCGCGTAATAATCCAGGGACCATGTGCAATTAACCTTAGTAATTATAACCAGTTAGCAGGTCTGATCAGCTTTTCTTCAACGTATACCGGGTCTTTAAAATAGACTGTGCGAGTCCATGTCAGGTCGAATATAGGAAGCGATCCAAGTTGCGGTAAGGTATTCTGCAAAGCCCTTTTAGTATATCATGCTACTTATTTCAAGGACTCAGACTCTCAGAGACCAGATGCATCTGAGTATCCTAGGAATTTGCCTTTAGTTTCTTATATTAAAAAAGCATAGGCCTAGGATATTTGAATTTGGAGGGAGAACCTTACCACAGTACTATTGATCAGGCATCTCGCACTGTTAAATTCCTCACCCATCTAAAAAGGAGAAGAATCCATAAACCATGAAAAATTTATGAACAGGATTGAGTCAAATTATTCCTTTATTCAATTTTGACAATAAAATATCTCTTAATGGCAAGCTTTCAATGATACCATACTCATTACCCACCCTTAGGGAGCCTAAGTATTTCTATGCTAATCTTTGTTTCATAGAATGCCACCTAGCTAGCTTGTGTCGCCATCACTTACAATACTTAAGGAGCCTAAGTATTTCTATGCTAATCTTGGTTTCATAGAATGCCACCTAGCTTGTGTTGCCATCACTCACAATACTTTGCTCATCTAAATAGGACGAGAAACACGAGAACTTGACAAATGGATCCACATACAAGAAAAAATTAAGAACAATGTAAGATCTCTGTTGAGGCTAAGTGAGTTGGAGTGCAGCTCAAAGTCTATGTACTCTTGGGATTAATCTTTAGAGTTTTTTTTGACAATTATGCACAAAAATAGGCGCATATATGCATTAACGTGGACATAGATGCGCACGCCCTCACACTCACACACACATACATGTGGAAGAATTAAGAATACCAGTTTTCATATTGTGAGTCGACTCATACATGCACATGAGTTGACTCATCAGGTTGAGTCGACTCATGTCTGTCATAAGTCGACTCACGAAACCCAGCCGTTTTGTCACAAGTTTCTGACGAGTCGACTCACCTCAGTGATGAGTCGACTCATCGAGATGGTTTCTGTTTTGTCAAGTTTTGGACGAGTCGACTCATCTCAGTCATGAGTCGACTCATCGACGGTTTCCTGATTCGTTTGGGTCTCTGTTTGCACGAATTCCTGTGGGGTTTGGGCTTGGTTATTTACCACTTTGTCACCCACGTTGTTACACATATAAAAGGTGTTGTTTGGGGTTTCTAATACAGCAGAGAAATAAGAGATTTGAGCATTGTGAGAGGGAGATATTGTGAGCAAGTTGAGAGCTTTGGTTGATGGTTAGTTGAAGTGATTTTGTGTGATTGTAACCCTTTTGTACTCTCCTTGATTTAGTGGAATCTCCCAATCCTCTCCCCGTGGACGTAGGCAAATTGCCGAACCACGTATATCTCTGTGTTTAGTTTGGATTTGTCGTATTTTAGATTGGATTGTGCTTGTGTGTGGTTTCTCTTCTTCTTAGTGATCTCAAACTCGTTCGGTGTGCGCGTGCACGCTTCCTGTGACCGCCCGGGGGCCCACCCACGTGCCCGCTTGTCCCTTGTGCGGACGAGCTCTCGTCGTGAGCTTGCATCCGTGCCGCACGTGCCGCCAGCCCACGACATGCTCGAGTGGACAGCTCGAGCTCCGCGCCCATGGCCTGTTGCGTGCGCCGCTTGCTGCTCCCACGCGTGCGAACTCCTTTTCCCACCGTCCCAGCCCGCCAAACATCCGGATTTCCCCCCCTTTGGTTTTTCCTATAAATAGAGAAGGGGTGGAGGAGTTATTGTGTGGGGAAAAATCTCAAGTGGAGTTTTGAGAGAAAAGAAAGAGAGGAAGAGAGAACTTGTATAAGTTTGGTATTTTTCCTTCATAGTGAAACCCCCTCCCGTGGACGTAGGCTAGTTAGAGAGAACTTGTATAAGTTTGGTATTTTTCCTTCATAGTGAAACCCCCTCCCGTGGACGTAGGCTAGTTAGTCGAACCACGTAAATCTCGTGTTTGTATTGTCTTATCTGTGAGTTGCTATAGCTTGTAGGTTTCCTCGATATTTCAGTCTTAGAACTGATGAGAGGAAGAGTGTATATTTTACTTTGATGAAATATATCACTTTCGATTCTTGTTTCCTTTGAGAAATAAGAATTTCACTATCTATTCTAGTTTCCTTTGAGAAACAAGAATATAGAGGTTGATTTGTGCTTTTGTGACAACAAAAGCCAGGGCTATCTCTTAGGTGATTTCGCTTCTGCGGTGTGAGGGCGTGACTCTGCGCCCAATAATTAGTATCAGAGTCCTTATTCAGATTGGCGGTGGTTAAGCTACTAATCTGAGGT